CGACGCTTAAATTAAAAAGAGATGATGGATGTAGGCAGACTGCATTCAAACTGAGGTAGATTACTATCCAATGAATTGATCAATCCGATAGTTTCCTTATTTATTACAGGGCTGTAATTTTAACATAGAATATCGATTTTATTCAAAACTTGAAATTACTTCCATGATTAATTTAACAATGAGAGATTGTAGTTAATATCTGAAAGAATGAAGTAACAACTTCTGCCTTCCAACACATAGGACGAAGATATACCTAGTTGTATTTGTACTTGTTTAACGCACGTAAATAAATGAGTTAGTCTGTTATTTCTAAGATCTGCTGTTGTCTTCGTAAGATATTTTACCTGTATACGACGACGTCTACTGATAGCGAATAATATTAATCGTATCTGTTACTGTGCTAGTCTAAATACGTAAAACTGATATAAAATACTACCCAATTAATTGATCGACCCGAGGGTTTCCTTGTTTAATATAGAATTGTGATTTTAACATAGTATGTCAATTTTATACAATATTTAAAATTCTTGAAATGATTTACTGCTAAAAAGTTATAGATTGTAGTTCAATGAAAGAATTTTGTAAGAACATCTACCTTCCAACACATAAGACTTAAGTACACCTAGTTATGTTTTCACTTATTTAACGTAAGCGTATTTCCTGAACAGATTAATATGGGTTTATTCTTTTAATTCATCATCAGTGTCGCGCAATATTCAATTTTATTTGCGTGAGTGACAGCTCTTTAAATCTGCGATAAAACCTGTTTTTTTATATCAAAAATCACTTTAGAAATTCATTAGACGTTCAAACGCTCTTGCTATTAGATTAAGGATATTATTTGTTGAGTTTTACTAGTCGTGTTTATCCTGTGCAAGTTTAGAATATGCCAGTTATTGTACCGTTAATTTCATAAACATTTACTATGAGTTTCATTTATAATGCGAAAATAATCGTTCTTGCTCAACGCTAAAGACGAAAGGCAATTGTGACATGTCCTTTCCAATTTATTAAAGCCTCCATTATACATAATTCATTCCACAATTAGAAATTCCTCTTCGACAGCTTCCTCCAACTCCAGAGAGTCACTACGTTATAAGGAAGAAAATTGTAGACCAAATTTGTACTCAATTACAGGAAATAGACAAGTCTAACGGTAAAATTTTAATACATGGTATGGCTGGTAGTGGTAAAACAACAACTGTTTGCCAGTCTGTTAGACAAGCTACTAAAAAGGGCTCATTTAAATCAAATGGCTGTTACTGGATGAAAATCGGTAAGTCTGCAAGTCTTACAGATGATATTTCAAGTATTAATAAGTAATGTATTTGGGCGACTATTACTGTACAATTATCCATACAATGTATCTGTAAAATTGATCAATTCGAATTTGGAGTAGAGCATAAGCTTACCCCGCCTGTTCCTTATCTACTTCGGACCGAAAGCATTTACTAGTATCATTAGAAGAATTATAAGAAGTACGAGATGAGAATATTGTTCCTATGGAATCGATAAAAGTATTGCCAAGAGATAAATAAGTTAAACCTTATTTTATGAGTAAATACCATCAAGTAGGCTACCATGTAATGATCATAGTTTTTAATTTTTCAATATTTATGGAGCTTCTAGTAAGATAACTTTAACTCGTAGTTCAATTATAATTATAAGAGCATTTCTTTCTACGAAAATAATGTAGCAAAAGTAATTACAGACCACGATATAATAAAATAGCTGCCTTACCGCATTAAATGACGTTGAAAGTGATGACCATTTATAATTAATAGTACGGTAAAGTATACTTTCTAGTATATGAGAATCAACTATAAATTCCTATTCAAATTAATAACTGTAACCTGATTTAAAAATCATGACACCGTGGAATTTTTCCCCTTTTAAAAAATTTGGCCATATTTAACCAGTAGTCGAAAGCATTATGATTGTGTACTATTTTTAGGCAATATTGCGTCGAGAGATAATATGAAATCGAACCATAACTTTGTTAGGGTTAGATCTTTAGGGATTATCGATAAGTGGGTTATCATGTTATTAACGAACCCTTTATCTACTGGAGCGAATAAAGTAATATGTTCTAAAACGTAAAAATAAGATGGGAAAAGAGATACATATTTGTTAGATCCTTTAAACTTAACTTTGTTGAAATGTACGCGCTGTCGAAGGTCGTTAAATTGCCCTGCTTTGGTTAAAGCAGCGATGGTGATTCACACTTATCTTAATTTAGGCAATATATCTAATACCGAGTTATGCCAGAAACTCAAGAGAATAGGTATCGATCTTAATATGGAATGGAAAGAGAATATTCAATCTATCGGCGAAATTCGTGCTTATCTCTGTTCTAGCCTAGAAGGTGATTTTTGAGCCTTTTATAAGCAATTCTATGTCAACTTGAATTATATTTAAGGTACAGTATTAATAGTTATTTGATTATTCTTATAACAGCAAATAGCAAACTATCCGATACGCTATTTATTTTTGACGATATCTGGGAAAAGGATCATTACAAATACTTATCTTTTGCCAAGAAGTCAATCTGTACTTCACGATTTGAGGACCGTGCAAAAGAGCGCGGCGATGGTCTTATCCGTTTACCGGTTAGTTTTGTAATTCAGTTTCTTATATATTGCAGTATAATTTGGAATCGGCAAATATTGATGTCGATGTTCTCTTGATTAATCAATCCACTTTGCATGATTCTTCTTTCAAATTACACATGTTCAAATTTATGTTGGATAAAATATAGTTAAAAGCGTCAATACAGTTGAATTGCTCTGACGATATTGTTCATTTCATGCAATAAAAGGTCAAAAATGAATTTATATTTTTTTCCAACTGTATTGATTAAAGTGGCATGGAGTATAGTATTATAGTTGAAGTAAACTTCACCGCTATGATTTCTCTATTTTGTCATTAAGTAACCTATCCGAACAATTATGATAAATACAATTCTTATTTCATATACTCTCTTGTATAGAAAAAACTAGAGTATAAGGAAGCTATAGAACTGCTTGCGTTACTTGCCGTTAACGATAATGCTCGGACATTGCTAAAAAGTTCAGTTGTCGAGAAAGTTATCGACAGTTGTCAAGGTTTACCATTAGCTATCGCTATAATTGGCCGTCTTGGTTTAGAAACTGAGAAAGAATGGAATCGAGCAAAGGGTATCATTGCCAAAAAGTCTGCAGATATTGAATTAGCTCATTACGGTTTCAATCTATACGGGACTTTACAATTAAGTGTTGATTCTTTGGAAAATGAGAATAAACAATTATTTGAGCAACTAGCTGTATTTAAGCGAGTCAGTATTCCTATTCAATCTGTTGCATCGTTATGGAACTACGATGTAATCGAAGCTCGTCCTCTCGTAAAGAAAATGCATAACAAATCATTACTTACATATGATGAAGAAAAGTAAGTTTAATCAGATTTCGGTTCGTAGAACGTATTGAAATAAACACAAAGTAAATTGCAATACATTTAGAGCATCAATCATGTTTGAACACTAATTATTTTTTAATTTTGGGGTAGAGTAGAATACTGCATATCCAAGTTAACTTAATTGAGTGATGTACAATTTTGCAATGCTTTATATTTTAATATTCAAAGCATGACCTACCTTGTAGGCATATATAGTGATAGATATAGAATGAACAGATTGATAAGTATTTTAAATTGATTGTGACTGTACAGTACTTGCATGTCGAATAAGCTATCATATATCTGCTTTATGTTAATTTTGGTTAGAATACTGTATGCCCAAGTTAAGTTAATGGAGTAATTTTGCAATGCCTTATAGGTATGGAATGAACAGATTGAACGAGTGTAACTTGTAGATATATTTTAGTTATTGGAATACAAGTGCAATAAGCTAGGATATATGCAATCTGTAAGATACAGAACATAATACTTTTTATCTACTTGTTAATATATTTGGGTTGTATCACGATTTATAAAAAGGTCATACTAGTTACGATGATTGCCTATTCTATGTTTTGACGACTATACATAGGCTGCTATATTAATTCTGCAAATACTGTACAGAATAAGAATATCTATCAATCGTTAGATGTAGGTTGATAATATTGCGCTATTAGTTTTGTCTCCTTTTTTATCTACTAAATCAACATTATCACCATATTAAGGTTACTAGTAAAATTTAGAATTGTGACGCTTTCACTTCCATCATTAATAATGCAAATATTATATTGTGAAGTATAAATTGTCTTACCTAACGTAGTCAATCGGCATTTACTATTTTCCTCTTCCATCTTCAAGCGATCTACGAATGTATGTCTACAAAGCAAGCCTTGTATACACACTGCACATTGCACACAATATCCTACACAGTAAATTGAATTCTAACCCTCTTCCATAAGGCTCTCTTTCTCTTTTAGTGATAACTAGCCAAAACTACTTTTATTTAATTAATCTTTTCTATTAGCTACTGTTTAGTTTGATAGTAAATTATGATTTGCTATCGTCTAAAGTAATTTGATTCTGTAATCCAATTCATCTGCAATGACTATCCAATATGTTCTTCTCAATAATCGAGCCAGTGCTATTCAATCCATAGTTTTACATACGCTATAATTGTTATAATTGTTATAATTATTCTCAATGCAGTGCTACAATCGATAGCCTTGCATTGACCACTGTAAATAGTATTAATCCCATTGATTTCCCTTACTTTGTCAAGATCGCACTGTGTTCTACACGATTTGATGGTCGACTATCTACAGAAACGACTCTCCAAGTCCGAACAAGTGGATACACACAAAACGTTGATCGATGGTTACCATAAGCAGTGCCATGAAAAGTGGAATACCTTCCCTGATGATGGCTATTTCTATTCCAATCTTATTCATCATGCTTTAATAGCTGAAAATGATCAACATCTTCAAAGTATTATGACCGATTTCGATTGGATGACACGTAAAATTCAAATAGACAGGACGATCTATTACCTAGAATGCGATTTAACAGACTACGTCGACTATCTAAAGAAAAGAAACAAGGTTGGATACTGAATTGATGTAGTTAATTCAATAGAATGAAAAGATTGATTACTTTCATCTCTGTATACCATGGATCAATAACAACTGTACAAATGATTCCATCATCCATTTTTTGGTGTAGATTGTTCAAGGTAGTGATTAATGATATAACATGTAGAAATCCTAGTTACTTACGCCACCTGGTATTGGTATTTGCAGTTTTCAAACTGACGATCTACTTTGTACAAATCGGGCTGCGTCATTTTTATCACTATATAAGTATTTGCATGCTTAAAGTGTAGTTGGACAGTCGCTTTTACTAATGTCCATATTTTATCATGTTTTGATTAACGTAATAAATGATCACGCCGTCGACTCATTTTTATAATTATAAATCGACTGCTAGTCATTCCAGCGCTTTCTTTCAAAATACGACTAATATCGTTTTAATGGTTAATTTACATTCAGAACTGGGAGGATTTCGATCAACTCAAGCAGCTCCTCAAGCAGCAACAACCTTGGCTAGATGTACACAAAAATAATGTCGTTCAAATGATCTTGTGGTTTAGCATGTCAGATAGTTGGATGAAACAGCGAGCTTTGCAATTAGCTGAGGAAAATGTGCGAAATGGTGAAAGTTATTGGAGCATGTCAAGGTAAGTAAACTACTTCCAATTTCATCAATCCATAGCAGTACTACCTACTGTAATTTACACTATACTGTCGATTCTGACTTGCAAATAGGTGTTCAACTAGTGCAACAACTCCATATACTTATGATGCATGCAAAGCAATCGGTAAGAATGAATTGGATCAGTCTATATCAGTTTCGAATCCCGAGTTTGGACCTTTGCGAATAATTGGTACTCAAAACAATCTTAAACGAGACTGCCAAATTGTGGTATGTTAGTATACAATCATAAAACGGCAAAGGCCAAGAATTAGAATGGACTATCGTTGAACTAGTGCTGAAAATACAATCCAATCAGTCATAGACTGCCAATAAAATCAATGCTGATTACTCGTTACTCTATCATGTCATTCATGTCAATTCATGTCTTGCTCACGATTGCAATTGCTTTAATAGATTCAAGATTATCAAACATCACAAACTGTGCTTCAAATATCAACACCAAACATGGATATTGAAAAAGTGGAAATCTCAGCTGACGGTCGGACTGCAGCCTTCCAGCAATTCAGCAGAAAGGTAGCACATTGCAATTTGAGTAGGATTGAGTTGATGGCAAGTTAATTTTTCATTCATTTGTTGAATATTCTTAGGACGAGTGGATCGTTTACGATCTCGATAAAAATGAAGAAATAAGCTTTGCCCAAAACGATCAAGGGGAAGACGTTAAGACTGACTTTGATTCCGTACAATTTTGCCCTCCTCAATCTGAAACCAAAATGATCATGACACTCTCTGGAGATTCCCGTGAAGTTAGGGTTAGCAGTGAATATGAGTTTAAGCGAATATTAATTTAAGTATGCCAAGTGATCGAAAACTGTTGTGTTCAACTGTTGTTGTGCTGTGTATTATTAGATTTGGAAGATTGAGGGGAATTGTATTAAACCTACAAATAAGCAAATATCACGCCAATACAAAATAGAATATTGTGGATGGGTACTAATGCAAGATAGTGTTTGTGTCTTGTTGTGGTGGAGAAAATATCGAAGTCAAGGAGGGAAGTCTAAAGACTATGAACCTGTCGATCCGCAAAATTGGATTAATGAATGTCAAATTGAAGTAAGCTACAATTGACTAAATGCAGTCAAGTCAAATATCGTCTCTTAGATCCAATTGATAAAAGCTATTTGTATCAATTTGATGGATAGATGTGGAATGTAAAGAAATGGACTCGTCGATCATTCAAAGTACCTGCTTTCATCCATGCAAAGGATGATGGTCAGTACTTTAAAAATAATGATTTTCAACATAGCAAGCGTTTAACGTACATCAACATCTACCGTGATGCAGCCTATATGATATTGTCATATACCAGACATATTAGTAGTACAATTGGTCAGTTAAAAATGAAACAAGTTTTCGAATTCGAAAATCAATTTCGAATTATATTACATGATATTACATTCGTTAAGAATATTTTGGTATCAGGCCATCAGTCAATGATCGCTATTGAATGTATAACTAGGGTTAGTGCAATATTGGGTTACTCATATTGATAATGCGTCATAAAGTAGATCAGCATAATATTTTATAGTGCAGTAATATTAGTTCTATATCGTAATACTGTGATATATGTAGAAACACATACTCAAAATGAGTGGTGATCAAGTCCAATCTCGTGCTAGAGTTGATCAATCTGGTCGATCAATGTTTATTCCTGGTAGTCATCGATTGCTTATTTATGATAAACGGGATGTATATGAATATAATTTACAAGGTAAGACATGATGGTTGTACAACAACTCTAATTCAATCATGCATTCATTCATGGTCACAATCGTTTTTATTAAACTAAGGCGATAAAATTGCTTGGCAAGATATCTCTCAAACAAAATCAGTTGATGTTGGTAGACCCCAACGTAACCCCCAAACTACCGTCAACATATTCGACGTAGGTTAAGCTTTCATCAGCACTAGTAGCTCTATCGACTTTGTTCAATCCTCTGCTCCATTGAATTGAATTGAATAATATTGATTGGTTGCAGCTGATCGAGTTTGTAGGTATAGAAGATTGTAGAAAGTACAGGGAATTAATCAATGGAAGACTTGGAGAAAGACACTTGAAGATTGTTAAAGATGAAATACGCTTCAGATATAGAAAGAAGGATAACACACTCATTCTCATGAACGTATGTTGAAAATACCAGTTTGAAGTTTGTATGAAAATGACGGTAGTATTATTTAGAAGATGATGAAAATGAGAATGCTTATTAGCTAACATAAGAAGTTGTTGAACTGATTTTACAATTACGTTGGAGGTCAATTGGTCGAAGGATTCATTTATTTGATTTATTTCAGACATCCTACGTAGGTGAAAAGTGGATAATAACTGTTAACCTTACGACCGGAAAGAAGAGCGTTAATCGACTGACATTGAGTCATGGTGCTCGTGTTGTGTATGTTGATGATGATTATCTTTATGTTTGGGAAAGAAACAAAGATGATAGACGTAGCTTGAAAGTAAGCTAGAATAATTTATTTCCATTTAATCTCTATTCTAAAGTGGAACCGTCTATAAATTGACTGTTCAGTTTCATGTCGAAAATAGCCTTGAATGTCGACTTTGACGTCTATTGCAAATGGAGACGACCATTAACGACATTTCCAACTTGAATTTATTGTAGTGTTACAAGTTTGGGGATGGTGAATATCAATTACTGGAAAATATTGACTACCAATGGGATAAAGGATTAATGTGTAAAATAATGATGAATAAGATTAAACATTCGCCTCTTCGGATGAAGATAGAAAAATTAGTTGATGTATGGGGAGAGAAAGATGCCGAAATGATTGATTATGTAATGGTAAGTCATAATGATCGCAGTGTCAATATGGAAATGAGTTGGAAGGAGGATGACAACGACTGTAATATGTTGATTATGACTCTACTCTAGTCCATAGCTGATCGTTACATTCCATTCAATTCATTATAGAAAGATGACGAACTTTTGCTACTACTGGAAAATGGAGACCATATAGCAGTAAGACAACGATAACTGGATACAATCAATGTGACGTCGTCATTGTTGAACGTAGGTTGTGCTAATCATAAAATTCAATGCCTATAGATACTCAACCAAGAAGAAGATGGAAATTTACGCATGAAAAGATACAAAGACAATATCAAATACTTCAAGCCTCTCACACAATTCTTCAACCATGAAAATCTATGGTCGGACAAGCAGTTAATCCTATATGAAAAATACTCTAGTTTGAATATTTATAACCCCCAAACACTACAGCTACAAATCACTCTACCATTCCCTCACTTCCGGATATGGGACATGCAATGGAATCTTCAACACTCTCAACTCATCATCAGGAGTAGAAAGGATTACTGCTTAGTAACCCACGTGAAAAAGACATGATATTTGCATGAAATGTAAAGTTAATCTTGTATCTTGTACCCAATGCAATTTAACGAGAGTGACAATAAACTAAGTTAATATTGCTTCCATAATCAATGAAGATGATTGATGTGCATACTGTACAGATGGATAAAGTATACCCCCAATGTCAGTAAAACCAATACCCAAAAATAAATAAACCAAAGCATAATTAAAAGTAGTCTATGTCTAGTCTATGGTCAATGCAATTGCTGAGCTAGTTTAATGTCTATTACAAATCGTAGTCAAAGAGCGACTTGAAAGAGAAAATGAAAAACATCTGTAACAAAACATTGGTAAAATAGGAGGAGAACATAAAGATCAACATAGGGATGGAGAAAATGGATTGCAAAATTGCAGCCTATCTATCATTAAGCATCCCATCTAGTCTAAAGTAGATATTGATGACAGTCTTGTAATATTGTAGATGGCGATCTCTTCAGCTATTAATAAACTAAATTAACATCACCTCTATCAATCAAGATGATGGGTGTGTGCTTTGTACAGATGGATAAAGTATACCCCTAATGTCAGTAAAACCAATGCCCAAAAATAAATAATGCAAAACACCATTGCATATTCGTCCATGGGGAGAATGCAATAGTTGAGTTAATTCGATTGTAATTATAAATGGCAGTGAAAGAGAGATTTGAAGAGAAAACGAAAACATTTGTAAAAAGATTCAGGATTAAGATTGAGGTTCTTGGTCAAAATAACATGAGAAGATAAAATAGTCTGCTAGCAAAGGCGATCATGACTG